AAATTCTTGATATAAGATAATTTTTTAGTTTTCATAAGGAAAATAGAAAAAAAAAGGGAATAATGGCGTATCCAAAAACTTGTCAAAATAAATAAGTAAAAGATAGTTTTACAAAAGGTCTGTCAAGTTGCAGAATAATGTAAATCAAGCAGCAATGGATGATTGATATGGCTTCCGACTTTTGGGTGGCCGTTAGTGTCAATCTGAAATTCTACTTTGTAAGAAATTCCTTTAAATATAATAGATGGTACAATTCATCAACTGTATCAAATTGGCGTCTTCCCCATGCATTTGTAGGATTTTCCAAAGTCTCGCTGTCTTGCCAAAAGAAGTCCTCAAAATGGGACCCCGTCGCCAAATATTAGGTTCAATGAATTGGATTCCAATTTATATTTCTTGCTTGCATTACCAAACTTCAACTTTAGCTGTCTTGTGAACCTTGGAACAGCCCATCTTTTTCCTACTCCCTGCCAAGCTAGGTAACGGTAAACGAGCTAGCTAGCCCTCTTAATTTGCCTCTTTGATTAATTAATTACTCCTCCCGGTACCCCTTTTCTTCATCACTTTGGCTTAACTTGGAAATTGGAATCTACCTTATATCTGCACACCATCATGGATTCGAGAAATGGAGCAAAGCTGCGAAAATCCATGGAGAATTTACGGGAAGAAACGCCATGTAAAAGTGGCAGGAAGAACAAAAGAAATCCTTCCAATTCCAAAGCAAGCTCTGGTTGAATTTGTGCATGATATATATATATATATATATATATATATATATATATATATAGATGTAACATTGTCCAAAATGTTGCAAATTACTTGAAGACGTCATCAATATTGCGTTGAGCTTTGCAAATTTTTATGTATATCCAGAGTTGGAGCACCGAATCATAAGCAAAAGTCTAGTAATTAAGTCTTGTATATGGATAAGAATATCGCCTGTAATCTACCTACTTGGTTAATCTATAATCTTTAATGCTGAATTCAAAGTCACTTCGATCTTGGTATGCATACCTTGGGTCAACATTCAAGCCAATCACGACTCTTCAAGCTTTCAGGGTTTGAGTTCATGAAGAATCAAATGGTAATTAGATTAACAACACCCTGAATTTATGTTCTTAGTACTGTTTTTATATAAACACTTCAATAATAACTTGGAAATTTGGTGATTTTCAAAGACTACAAGAAATTTAGGGTGTGTAAACGATCGGTTTGATGTTAAAATTTTGAAAATTGAAAAAATTGAACTTGCTTTTATGATAGAATTGAATCGAATTGAATTAATCTATTTAATTGAACTTATTGAGAACCAAACTGCTTTAGTCGGTTTTACAAAACCAAACTACAACAATTCTTTTACAATATTTTATCAAGTTTTAAAATAATGCATATAAATACTAAATTTTTTTATGCTTGCATTTTTTTTGTTTTCTTTTTGTGCTTTTTTTAATTTTTTAAAGATTTTTTTTCTATTTTTTGTTCCATTTTTGTTTTTTTTTCTTTTAAAATTGTTCCATTTTTGTTGTTTTAGATAATTTTAAAAGAACATTTCAGATTTCATTATTTTATTATTGCTGTTTTAATTTGTCTTGCTTTTCTTTTGTTGTGGTTTTTTTCTTTTCAATTTCTTTATATGCTGTTTATGGTTTTTGTTCTTATTAATCCTAAATTTAGAAACTAGCTCACAACACCCGACTTAAACTCAAAAACCCTGAAACTCGTTTTTTGTTTTTCCAAAACCCCCCAAATTTGATTTTTTGAAACCCTTCAACTCGGTTCACCAAAAACCCTAAACCTAGCTCAATAGAAATCCTAAATCTAGATTGAAAATCCTAAACTCGATTCACGAAACCTTAAAATCAATCCAAAAAACTCTAAAACTAGTTCACCAAACACTAGAATCGATTCATTAAACCTTAAAATCAATTCAAGAAACCCTAAACTTGATTCTGCAAGTCTAAAATCAATTGATTAAACCCTAAATTGATTCTTTAAACTCTAAAACCAATTTAAAAAACCCTAAAATCGATTCATCAAACCTCAAACCGAATAAAAAAACCCTAAAACTAATTTAAGAAACCTGTTTCTTATGAGAATTTTTCCAACCGAATGCTATACCAAAGACCCCAAAACTATTCTAACGGAATAAAAAAAAAATTGAACTCACGATCTATTTTTTTTAATTTGGAATGATTTTGCTCACTCTTACAAGCCGCCTATATATCTAAGAACTATCTCTCTCTCTCTTGATTTCTTTTTCTTTATATCAAGATATTACATCATTGATATAGCCAAAAATCATCAGAGTTAGATTGAACCGCAAGGGATAAGTCTAGAAATTACATAGAAATTAAGGTTAAAATCGATGGTTATTTGACTTGACCAAGAATAAGGTATAAGCTCGATTATGAGACACCTGACTATTATACTTGGAACATCTTGAAAAGTTTGTTTTTTTTTTTCTTATATATAGTTCAAAGTCATTGAACTTAGGCTCGAAATGGAATATATACACATATAAAGGCATGCATTTCCATCGTTTCAAGGGGTGTGGAAGACTCTTCAATCCAAAGAATTTGATCATTTGAACCACTAGACTGAAGCAAACAATTTCGATTACTTGGCTTCCAGTCTTCTCAGTCCACCAACAAGACAAAAGTTATTTACACTTCTATCAATTAAACCAGAAAGAGACCTAAAAATCAAATTTTTCAATAGGGTAATGCACTCTTAATTTAATCTAAGCCAATTGAATATAGAAAAATATTTGATGCGCTGACAATGTATAGTTTTTATATACTATTAAGCTATCAAATTAATCTTGATACCTCATTAATGAGATATTATTTTGAAAGAAATCAAAAATTAATATTAAAATCTAATTTCATTTTGAGGGCTTATCAAATATTAATTGTTTAGTATATGTATGTATGTGTGAATCATATAGTTTTAGATGGAGGTGAGAAGAAACATATATCAAGAATTGATCGTATAACTAAGTGTGTCTAAATTCATTCCATGTTTGGGAAGGCGCCTTATCTTAAATAACTGCAATAGGACACTGGATTTCTTCATCATATTAAAGGGAAACGCACCCCCACCCCAAAACACCCCATTGTTTCATCACAAGTGAAAAAGATTGTAGATAGGTAGAGAACCAAAATCATCATATTCCACTTTCACCTTTAATAAGATAAGCATCATCCCGAATGAGTATAATTAACCATTGAACAAGCAATTCTAGTAATACCTTGCATCCCAGAATTTCAATGATTTTTACTCATAATGCTGGGTTTATTTTCTGAATGCACCAGAAAATACAAAAAGCAAAGTCCAGTATCAACGTTGGTCCCATCAGAATCTTAAATATATCCTATATCAATGATGGCCATGTGTGGTAAAATAATAGCCTTTTGTAATAAAGGTTCAAATTAATATTATTGATGGGTATAGTAAACCAATGTGAAAGTCTAATATATAATCCCATGGCATCATAAAATAATTTTATTTTGCCATCAAAAGATGTCACTCTTTCTTACTTTATTCTTGTAGTTATGAAACCCTTGATTCAAATGGACATACCTCAATGTACTCCAAGAATACCTAGCTAGAGAGAAAAATTGGTATTCATTGTAGAAAACAGATCAAAATAACATCTCTAGCATCGTCTACATTTGATGCCATTAGCCTTTCTCTCTAAGATTGATGAATAACAACCCAAAACAAAAGCATGTTTCAAAAATGAACTTTTCCTTCACATAAATGCCTTTATGGTTTCATGGAAACCGAGCACCAATGGGTAAACAAAGATATAAGCAATCAAGCAATGTGAATTCAAAATGTTCATCTGGTGTGGTTGTTTTATCTGGTCTCGTGGCAATGCCTTTGTTTTGCTATGCTTTCAAGCTGTGCTGTTTTTTGTGGTATAGGATGAATAAGAAGAGGTGGAAATTCCTTAGCGAATTCTGCCCCTCTTCCTAAGATGTTTCTGCTGTACTCCTATTCAATATTACTACAATATTGTGCCCTTCAGAAAAGGAGAAAAAAGCAATGTAGCAAGTAATAATTTGCATAATAGGCAGCCAGTATAGTCCACTGCATTGGTTAGAACTTAAGTGTAGAGAGTTGATATATAGAAGGAAAACTAAGCTTATTATGATTAGTCTGTTGCATGTCATATCAGACTAATATCTTTAACCTAATCCATATGGTGGCAGCTATATACTTATTCAACATTTGTGTGATTCCAGATATGATAATCTAAAATTCGACAGTTGTTGTCTCCTTCTCAAAAATTTATATCAAATCATGTTGCCTTCAGTGAAGAACTAACAAGATTTCACTGTTTGTTAGGGTTCATGTGACGATGGACTTCCACTTAATAAATAAATATCTCCCCTTGGGGGAACAGATTTGACAGAACGGAGAAATGGGAGATGGATTTGCCCAATATCTAAATCAGGCAACTTGCCATAGACTATTCAAGACAAAGACCTATCCCCTTTATTAGAGCCTGATATGTGAAAGGTTACCTTAACCTACTTCCAGCATGCAGCAACTTCTTTCCCTGGACATGAGTGGACTAATGAGATTTTAATTAGCTGTTGAAAACTGGAAACCTCCATAATCTCTAAAAAGCCTAAGATGTATACTACTGTTTAGTTAACTGTTTGAAGTGTTTGATGCTGCTTGGCTTAGTCTTGTCTTCCACTCTATATCCATTCAAGCAGTAATCTCTGTCAAACGAGAAGAAAAGCAACAGCAACAAGCAAAGGAAAGGAAAAAAAAAAAAAGAAAAACGATGAACATAGATGATACTAAAACAGGAATGCTTCTTTTACTCACCTGACACATGGTTCTTTGCACACCCTTTTTAGTGCTTGATTTGATATGCCAAATACCCCATCGGCCATATTATAAAAATTTTTGTAAAATATAAAAGAGAATTAATAAAATTAAAAGAAAAAACATTTTTTACCATTCAAGAAAAGACACACAACTTGATCTACAAATCTATTACTTGTCATAAATGGCTTATCAAAGTACATATCAATGACAAATGGGTGTTCAAGTCACATAGATTTTAACTACAAATAGTAGATACACTGCTGCTGCTGCTACGACTATGAGTAAAAACAGCTACTGTTTTCATCAAAGATAAAAAAAAATACTAATAAAGATGTAGCGTAATATCCATTAATGGAAGGTGCAGTACCTGACATAATAACATAAAGGAAAAAACTTTTAAGACAATAGCATCCGATATTGCAGATTATACTAATTAGATAGGATAACATAAATAATAAAAAAAGAAGAACCGAAGAAGAAACATTGGAAAAATCATGTTCTTTTCCCATGCAGCTCGTTGATCACGTCTTTTCTTTTTCTTTTAAAGATTTTCTTACTGATTTTGATTTCCATTAGGAGGTGGAAGAGGTGGAGCTTGAGGGGGCCGCTTTCTTTTCTTCTTCTCATAACTTATGCCTCTGGCTTTAGCCTGTGAATCACGAACCTCACGTAGGTAAAGCCTAACGGCTCTAGCCCCAAAAGGGTTTGCTTCAGGCTTGCCTCCGTGTTCCTCAAAGGCGGCTCGGAGGCGTCCGATGAGAGCATCGAGGCTTCCCCAAGCTTGGCGGAGCGGGCAGGGGCATGGAGCTGGAGGGTTAGGATGACCAAAGAAAGGGCAGAGTTGAGTGTGGACTTTGGTTTTCCCAAACTGGTCAAGGTAGCGGAGGAATTCCAGGACGTGGGCCCCGCTGCAGCGGGAGAGAGAGAGAGGGGGGCGGTGGTTGCGGAGGTATTGGCCAAAAGTATTCCAGTCGCGGCGCTTCTGGTTTTCATAGCGGCTAAGAGTGGAAGGAGAAGTGGAGGAAGAGGAGGAAGGGGAGGAGAGGTGGCTGCAGAAGGGCTAGTGTTGATGGTGGTTGCGGTGGTGGTCACGGTGGTGATGGAAAGGTTTGTAGGGAAATTTGGGGTTAAAGTAGTGGAAGGGTTTGCAGTCGAGGTTTCAAAGCCATGAAGAGAATCCATATGGAAACTAATGGATATGGTGATCCTTTTTACTTGCTTTAATCAAGGGTTTTAGGCAGCTTGAAGAGCAGGAGTGGAACAAAAGGGGAAAACAAAACAAAGGGAAGAGTAACTGAGAAACAAAGAGGGATGAGAAAGAGAAAAAGAGAGCAAATTAAGGGAGATGGAACTTTGATCAGTAAGGAAGATGAACAGTGTCTAATAAGCTTACAGGTCTAGGAATATTTATTATTTTTAAGATGTGGGGATTGAGGTGATGAAGAATGACAGACAGGGCCAAAAAGTGTTTGATAACAGGTGAATTTCACCTGGGACTCAATAATGCCATGATCAGAAACGGAGGGAGAGAGAGAGAGAGAGAGGGAGGGGTTGGAGTTTGAAGAAGATGATGATGAGGCTAAATATATAGGAAGAGGAAAAAAGAATAGTATATAGGGCAAGCTGGTCTAGTCCCTTTCTTTTCTTTGAGGTTTCTTTGAATCTTTGTTTGATCAATCCTAGAAAACTTGAAAGGCTTATGATGTCTATGTGGTGGGCTTTTCCTTTTCCTGACTTTGTTTTCTGAAGAAAAAAAAAAACCATTAGAGGGTGGTGTTTGGCAGATATAAGTGTTTTTCTTTTTTTTAACCTTTTTTTCCCTGGAAAAAGGGGAAGCAAACTCTCAGTTCCCTTGCTGCAAAAGTTTTAACATCACAGAGAACAGGCAATGGTAAATGGGTAAGTGGAAATAACTTTGTCTAGGGCTTTTATGGAAATGGAAAGAGGTTTTAACAGCTAGGGAAGGATGAGAGAGAAAACTGATGGATGGAGACAGGATAAAGCTATTGGGTTAAAAATATGAGGGAATAACATGATTTTGTTTCTTCACCCTTTTTCCATTGATTGACAACACCTTTTCCCAAATGACCGCATTGCCCTTCACTGACTTCATTTGAGGTATAACTTGCATCACCTGAAAGCATCAGTCCATCAAGCACAGTTCCTCACAAACAGCTCATGTGGGCATTGCTTTGAACCCTAGGGTTAACAAAAAAACAATCCCAAGATTTGGCTGCCATTAGACTGCTTGATCTAATGGACCAAAACCAATTTGGGAAATTTGCAATTTTTCCACAAAACCTTGTCCTTGGCAACTATCCTTTTGGTCTTTACCTAGAGGAACAAGGTGAGGCTGCGGCAGCAGACCTGGAGCTTTTATTTGAGGAAAGAAAGAACAAAGAAAAAAATTGAAACATATTACCGTAACAACTCTTGGCAGAAAATGATGGAATGGCCCAAATAGAAATGATTCAAATACATTTAGACATGTCCTATCTCCTGAGAAAGATGCATGCTCGCTATTTGCTAAACCTCTAGTCTTAATTTGCATTTAACTATATATATATGTATGTATGTGTATTTTCATGCTATGTGAAAGGGATAGGAGGCAATGATAAATGCAAGGTGAACAAGAACTAAAGAAGGAGAGAGGAAGAGGGAGAAGTTCATTTTCCCCATTCCCTTTTTCTACTTTAAAAAAGAAAAAAATACTTGTGTGTTTTTGGTGGGCTGTGTGCTGCTTCCTTAGCTGTTAGCACATCCCATGCAATAATGATCCATTTCAAAGTTTAAGCTACCATTGTTTTGGTGAGAAAGGTAACTCACTCAATTTTAATAGGAAAAGACTTTATTCCTAATTGTCAATATTGTATTTCTTTTTCTTACTTTACTACGTACCATATATATATATATATATATTCTAGAAAATGAAAATTATATATAGATAGACCAATTATTCGACAATCACCGCCATCAAAATCCATTGTTCAAAGACCCTATAATGTATCTGAATACGCAATCTGGATTGGACAATGTACCAAAGGAAACTGTCGCCTGAAATTTCAATGGTCAATATCACAATCATCAACATGTTTGATCAGGGAAAGCTGTCCATTTCCACACCTGCAAAAGGGTTTTCCGCCAGCATTATAAACATGCTTGATTGCTCCAAAGGGTTGTATGCCTTTGATTGAAATTTTGAAGCACAGCTATAAGCAATGGCTGGATGAAAAAGACTTGCACTCATTCATCAAAGATTGGATTGTAGCAAAGAAATTTTGCAATTCCCTTTCTTATATATTTTGCTAAGTGCCTGCTCACTGCAAAACCTGGTTATTCTTAAACATTATGGATTTTTCCCAGTGGCAAGGACTTTATCCAATTGCGCCCTGTTACAGTTGAAGCAGATGGAAAGTACAGTTTTTGGCCCGAGAACAAGTGCAGATTTGATGCCTAGATTCGTGGTCATCACTTTTGGCCTGTAAGGCATAGTTCGAACTTTGCATTTTTGTCAACTTGTCAAAGGAATGCTTTGCCGGTCCATTTTTTGCTTGTTCCTTGCTTCAACCAAGGCCACTGCTATCACAAGAACAAATCAATCAGCATCCTATTAATAGCTAGCCTTTTAAGTATCAACTTGACTAATTTTCTTTTTGGTTACTTGAACCATTAGCTTAATTGCTATGGTTGGATACCCATCTCTTTTGAAGTGAGAATATATATATATATATATATATATATATATATATGTTTCTGTATCACTCACCCTTTAGTTCCTGTGAGTGTTTTCACATGCCCAATGATTTGGTAAAAAGAAGTGAAAACTACACCCAATGCATCAAAACTCAAAAGCTCTTCTTCCTATACTTTTTAACTAGTCCTATTTATAATAAGTAATGCAGTATGCCACTAACACTAAGCAAAAGGCTACATGTGTGATTACTGTGCAAACTTTATATAAATGTGAGATATATTAATTTATTTTTTGAAAATAAAAATTAATGACATTTATATTATTTTATATAAGTTCCCTGTGGGTGATCATATCCTCCTCTCATCATATGTAGTATCTTCAATTGCTTTTTATTCTTCAATTGTTTAAGATCATTTCTCAATTGTTTTATAAAGTCCATGTTGAGATAGAATTATAATGCTGCATCGAGTCTGTAGCTGAATTATTGAAATTAATTGCAATAATTACATATCCGAGCAAATTAAGACTACATTTCAATATAAAGTAGGATTAATCCATAGGAGACAAGAAGATGTCAGTGGACATGGACTGCAAAAAATTCGTATTCTTCATTTCCCTTCTTTACTAATCTAAAAGAAACCAATAGAATATCTTTAAATATATGCTAATTAATCAATGTCTTGGTCCATTTGTGTTATTCGTATATGGCACAAACATGGTTAGATTAGTCCTTTTAACCCCAAGGATTATCTATCGATTCACAAGCTGGAGAGATCGAAAAAAAAAAAAAAGATCCGGGAAGCGGGCAAAGGGGCCAAAGCCTACCCGAATTAGCTTCCCCTTTTCTTTTTCTTAGCAAAAAGCAAAGCAGAATTGAGATATGTCGTGTCTCTCAATCTTTTTCCAATAGGGAAGATATTATCTTCCAAAAAGCTTTGCTTTAGAACCCAATTAAAACCTTATTCAAATTATTTTAAAACATAAGTATAAGCTTCATTTGGTGGGGGTGGTGGACATGAATTCAAAGGAAGTGCACCAAAAAAGTGCCCATTGGAGCACTCAAAATGTGAAGAGAAATTTTTATTTTTTTTTAAAAATAGTACGGGCTTTAATCATCCCAAGCTAATGGGATCTTTTCCCAGCTTATTAACAATTTCACAATTAGAAAAAGATGAAAATTTTTTCCTTTTGGGGGAAAAAGTTGTATACTCTCTTATACTTAAGAATGACATTTCCCCCTGCATCTTTCAACTTTATGTCTGCCTTCACTGTCGAGGACAATTTTTCTTGCTTCTATTGTTTGTATGATTCTTGGCTTCTTCTTGCAATAACATGTCCAAGAACCATTTACCTCCCAAACATTGGCTTGCCTACTGACCAAGTAATAATAAAACAAACAGTAATGGCTTGTAGCATTCATGTACTTCTTGTTTCTTTCTCTGCTTGTATTGATTCCAAGAGAGCTACTTGTTTAGAAGCCTTGGATGTGCAAAATATGGATATCCTATGGTAATTTGAAGTTGCTTTCCAACTTTTTTTTGGGTTTAGGACAAATTAAGGACAGGGTCTATGTGAGGAAGATTGGGAGAGTTATCAAAGATTAAATGCCCTTTTGCTCCCTTTGCTATTTGCATGTGACAACAGAGGCAAGAATAGATATTGACACAATGAGGTGGAAAGCATTTTGCCATTGCAAAAGCGTTTTGGGTTGATTCAATTAACAAGTAGTTGCCAGTAGTTTAGCTTCTTTTAAAAATCTAATTAGGAGGGGATAAGGTCAAGCAGGTTTTGTTCTTGACATTCAGCATGATCAGTCGGGCCAATATAATTTATTGGATTAGGCCGAAGTTTTACGGTTTTTACCCATTCTAACAACTATGCATTTGCATTTGGATTCTAGCGGTAGAACATACGCAGGAAAGATCAACGAAACTAGTCTTGTTGCCTCTCAGTCTGCCCTTTAAGCTCGTACCAGGCAGAGAGAGACCAAGCAGGCTCCCCGGATTGGACTCAAGAGAACTTACACGACATGTGACTAT